CCCTCCCGGGGCGACCAGCGCGCGTCGCGGGACAACCGCGCTGCGTTCTTCCCTGCGCTTCGCTCTCCCGTCGTCGCTCTGCCCGCCGGTCAGAGCCTCGCCCGCTATCGGCCAGCCAGCTAGCTAGTTCGATCTCTTTGCTCTGCGCAGCGGACGACCCGCGCGCGTCGCCGGGGCCCTTCCGGGTCGACCGGCGCGCGTCGCGGGGACTCCGCGCCGCGCTGCGCCCGCAGCTTTGGACTTCGGAGCGCGCCGTCGAAGAGGGAGGAAAAATAACGGAAGGAAACAGGCGCGATCCTCGCGAGGGGCGCGCCGACATGGGCGTCGCGGCGCGCGGGCGTTGCCGCCGGGGTTCCCGCGGACGCTTTCTGCGGCAGCCGCGCCCAGTGTCACGAGTGCGCAAACGGGCGTGCCCGAACCGTTCACATTCATATACATTTACACGAAGCGTAGCCATGATCGCATTCGTGCAAATATATTCGCACGCGCGCAGATTCACCCGCGCTTAGACTCACTCGCGCTCAGACTCACCCGCGATCAGTCTCTCGTAGTTAGACCGTTTCCTTCGTGTTGTGTACCCCGCCACGTTTCGGCGCGCCCCTCAGGCGGTTCGTGGGCACCACCGAAGAAGATATTCACAATTGCGGTGCTCACAAGTGCATATGGTTGGGTCCTTCGCCAGGAAAGTTGCCCCCCCTTCAGATTTGCTTTCAGCGGAGTCTGTGTGCCCCCGTTGGGTGGCGCTGGGGCCCTGTTTGCGGCCTCCCGAAGGGCGTCTTGGCACACTTGCCACCCACGCAACCAGCGGAGGTGATCGGAATCGCCCGGATCCTCCGCTGCACCTCGGGCGGACGATGGGGACACGCGGAGCCACGCCCACGCTATCCCTGGACGCCCGGGCACCAGCATGCAGGCTCTTTCCGTCTGGCCAAATTGGCTTCGGGTTCGGAGCGGGAGGAAGGTGGCGGGAGGTACAGGTGGTGTCGGGCCGCGTTCCTTGGCGCGCCTGCGCTGCTCTTTCTGCGCAGCCTGGACAGTGATGCTGTGTCGTACCGCTGGGGGCCCTCGAGCAAGGCCGCCTCCGGTCTTCTGTCCGTGGGATGCCGTCCAGAAAGCAGTTTGTTGAGAGCATTTTTTCTGTCCCTTCTCTCGGTGGGGCCTAAGCATTGTGAGGGCAAGGCTTTCACAACATATTGTGTACAGAGACCGCACCTCGCACAAAATAGCATGGGAGCATCGTGGGTGTAAGCCACAGCCATGGCGTGAATTTGGTGAATTCGCTCGAGGCCGAGCCGGATGCAGAACAGGCAGGCTTCGCGTTCACGATCAATTGCCGCCTCGTAGGTACGACCGCACGTGAAACGTGATGCGCCACGAGACTTGACTACACCGCTGAGCAGCTCCCACGGATGGACCACAATACATGACTGGGTCTTCCTGGGAAGCTTAGGGGGAGGAGGAGGGAGAGTAAGGAGGAGGATGAGGAGGAGGACGGACGAGGGAGGAGGCAGGAGGAAGGAGGAAGGAGGAGGAGGAGGAGGAGGAGGAGGACGAGGAGCGAGGACGGCGAGTTCGACGACGACCACGACGGCGACTGCGGCGGCGGGGGCGACGGCGACGGCGGCGGAGGGAGTGGGCGGAAACACCCGCTGCCTCTCCACCGTCGCGTTCCCCTCCGCAGGGCGCCTTCCGCCTGATCCGGGCCGCGGCGCAGTGCGGCCACTACCCGCGGTACACCTCGCGCTTGCCGCTGTGGCTGCGGCTGGAGTTCAACGCGATCGACAACGCGGGGAGGCCGCCGCTGACCGCCGCTGACCGCCGCTGCTGCTGCGGCGAAGCAGCAGAGATCTCGGCTGCGGCAGGGGCCACCACGAGAAGCCACTGCGGGAGGTGTGCGGAGCAGCTGTTGCTTAGATTCTGTCCCAGATCACCATGCTTACAGCTGAGGCCCATGCCAAGAAACACCCTGCCTGCCTGCCTCCAGGTTGCCCTGTGTTTCTTGGGTTTCGATTGTTCTGCTATGCAAAGCGTGACGTCCCCACACCAAAAACCACAGGACGCCTTGGGATCTCGAGCCTTGTGGCAATTTTCTTGGTGTCGAGCCCCTACTGTTTTGTTTGCCATCCGTTCTCGGTCTCGGCGGGGCCATTCCCATACGCTGAATCAGCATGGCTCCAAAAACACATGGGCCCGGACTTGCTGCGCGCGCCGCGGTGCGGTGCTCGCAGACCTGCGGTGTTTTTTTTGTGCACGGCGGTGTGCTGACATGAAGGCACACGGACATCGTGTCATCTTCAAGTCGGGCATGTACCTCTACAGGCGGAGTATTCAAGAACTGTACAACCATAGCCTGGTGTCGATGGTTCGTGCCCTCTGGACCATTTTGGGCTACTTGTTGAGACGCTTGTCGAATGTTCTTCCTTGGGTCGCCTGTAGGAGGACATGCCCGACCTGATGATAGCCCCGCGCCTACCGTCCTGGCGTTCGAGGCGCCCACCTCCAGGGGCCCGCAGGGTGCTCGCGCTCGCTTCGGTCGCCGCGCCTCCTGGCCCCAGAGCCGCCGCTCTCTCCTGGGGCTGGAGATTTGTCTGGCGATGTGCTTGCTTCAAGTCTGCGCTCTTGCCCCGAGTCCCAAGTCTAGAGGCCCGTCCGTCATCCTTGCCCTCGAGAGGCAGAACACGAGGCAGGATCATCGAGACGACGTCGGGTCGGGACAGAGCGGGAATCTCTGAGAGCCGGCGGTTCGGGGGAGCGTCTTCATGCGCGCCGCTGCACTGGTGCAGACTCTCAGCCTCCCCAGCTCTGGACCCGCCCCTCGAAGATCCCCCCTCCTCCAATACCATCCCTGTCCTTCCTCTTCCTGTCTGTGCCTGCCCTTGATTCCGGCCCTCCGGGGCTTGTTTCCTGGTCCCGAGACCCCCATCTGCGCTATATATATATATATATATATATATATATATATACATATATATATATATACAAGACTGCAGTGGCGCTTCGCGCCATGCACCTTGGTCCTTGAAGTTTGGTATGCAGGCGGAATGGCAGGAAGGTCAAGCCGACAATTTAGCAATAACTCCTGGTTGCCTTTTCCGGCATCGCCGCTATAATGATGTTATTCGTTATCCTTCTTCCATGCTCATTGTTCTTTATTTTCGCCATACCCTGCGCATTCTCCCCATCCTCCTCAGCTCTTTTCTGCGGAGGCTCCTCCTTGGAGAGCCTCTAGGGGCCTCACAAAAGTTGTTTCGGGCTTTCTGAAGGCCTTCTGGAAGCCTCCTGGGCGTATTCAGGGGGCCCCTGGGGGCTTCCTCGGGCCACCCTGCCTCCAACCGCCGTCTCCCTGAACGACCGAATCACGATTTGGAATTCTTCGCAGGGTGTCTTTGGGCCATCTTGGGCCGCCATGGGGCTCTCTGAGGGCCATCTTGGACCCGTGTTGTGCCGTTTTGGGACTCTCTTGGACTGCCTAGAAGCCCTTTCGGATGGTTGTGGGGCGATTTGGGAGCCTCCTAGGCGGCTTCGGACGCCCAGAAGACCGCCGTCCTGGAGCGTCGGGAAGCCGAAAAGAGGAGAACCCCAATATTCACCAAAAAACCAACAGGAAATCAATGATTTTTGCATCGGGGGGCCTTCTTGGGAGTGCTCTTGGAGGCCTCTTTGGGGCCGTCCTGGAGGCCTCTTGGGCCATCTTGAGGTCACGTCGGTCACTCTTGGAGCGCTCTTGTGCTGTCTTGGGGGTGTCTGGGACGTCTCCGATGACCCCCCTGATCGCCCTAAGTGTGCTGGGAAGGCTTGGCAAAACGCCTTGCGAGGCCCGGTGGCCGCTTCGAGGCCCGTCCAGAGGGCCCCAAAGCCCCAGGTCCCAGGAATCCGTTTTTTGGGGGGGAGGTGATGGGTTTTCCCCCCGCCCGGGCTTATAAAAATATAGGAAGAGGATAGTGTATATCTCTATCGATCTATCTATCTATCTATCTATCTATCTATATATATATATATAGATATCGGCGTCACCCCAACATACTTACACTACATGCGCGTCGCCCCCCCAGGGGCGACGCGCGCTCCGAGAAATCTTACAGTATATGCGTCGTTGTGGGCGCTTGTTGTCCACACCGCTCGGGGAACGATATATTACAAGATGGTCATACTATATGTTCGGGTCGGACGCGCGCCTCCAAGGCGGACATGTAGTCCCATATATATATATATATGTGTATATATAGTTTTATATATATATATATACATATATATATATATATATATATATATAGACCCTGCCGACTCCCCAAACTTGTCGGCACTGCGCGGGAATGGCTCCTGCATCCCGGCAACCGGCCACGACACGGCACTGTCCTCTTTACGCATGCTGACGCCAGGTACAGCACGTCACGGCACCGCACTCTCCCGCATCCTGAGAGCCAGGCAGGGCGCGGCACCGCACGGCATCTTTCGCATTGCCGAGCGCAGAACTGCCACCCTTCAGTTCTCGCTTTTTGAAAGACCAGGCAAGCCAAAGCTTAAGTCGGGCACGTCCCTCTACAGGAGGAATTATCAAAAAAATAGTGCAGAAAGACTCTGGGGACGACTTTTTGTATTTTTGAATGTTTTAGGGTAATATTTTAGACTTTACATTTTTCGTCCAGAATCCGCCTGTAGGGGGACGTGCCCGACCTAAGGCAAGGCATTGCACTGCATGTTCCCCATTCGCGATATCAGACATGGCACGGGTGCGGCAGCTGCAGGTGCACGGCGCGGCTTTTGTTGTTCGCATTCCGATTGCTTAGGCACGGCACGGCATTGCACGGCATCTTGCCCGCATGCGGACAAGCAGGCACGGCACGGCACGGCACGGCAAGACCTAGCACGCGTGCGGCAAGCTCAGAGGCACGGCGCGGCCAGGCCATTCCTCACATTCTGAACACCAGCCACAGCACGGCGTCTTCTTCGAATTCTGACATGCAGGCGCGGCACGGCACGGCAGTCCCGAGTCGTGCTCGAGGGGGTGTCGGACATGGCACGGCGCTGGAAGCCAGGGCTCGCGTGCGGCAACTTTTCCGACCAAGACCACTTGCAGCATTCGCTGCTTAGGGGGAACTTGGGCCTGGTACTCGCCGAGCGCGTTCCACCATTCGCACAGTGCCTACTCGCAAACATCCGAAACAACCAGGTTTTCCTCTATGCAATAAACTATGCATCCCCCGCGGCGGATCCAGGCCATTCGCGAGTAGTCAGTTGATCTGCGAGTCGTGGAAAAGCGCTCGTCCAGGCACGGAAAACTCCTGGAGAGGCGCTCGGGGTATCCTGCGGTCGTGGCCTGGGCAGGGTCGATCCGGGAGATGTCGGGGGGCCCACGAGGACGCGAAGGGCAGGCGCGCCTCGTGGGGCGCGTTGCGCGGAGGTGGTCGGCGAGCAGTCTTCGACAGAGTGAGCAGTTTGAAGAGGTGCTCAGAAGTCCCCCTCTCGGTGACGCGCCCCCTCCTCAGAGGAGGAAAAGGTACCCATACCGCTACCCTTCGCCCGATTCCCCTTTTTGGGCCTCCTGGGCGGCCCTCGTCGTCACCGTTGGATTCGCCTCGAAATCCTGGTCAGAACGCACCCGGGGAGAGGTCAGGGGAGTAGCGGTACCGGTGCCTTATGGTCCCCCCACCTCCAGTTTCGAATCAATCAATCAGCACAGCGAGTACGAGAGCTCGAGGAGATAATGCAGGATGTCGATCAATGAATGACCGGGGGTCGTGCTGCGTCGGCGGCGCCCCGGAGGATGATTAGAAAAAACTGGCCGCGGGTTGGGAAACTGTCTTTTTAATCGTTCCCCCCCTGCCGTCCTCGGGCGCGCGCCCGGACAGCCGACGGGCCAGCCGGAGCCGAAGCGGAAGGTTAGGAGAGAGGGGATCAAGGAGAAAGGAGCAGGGGCAACATCAGCGGGATGTAACTATAACGATGAACGGATCGAACTCCACGCAAGGCCCCAGTGGGGATGGCCACATGCGTCCGCCATACCCAGTACAGCGCTTCGTGGCCCCATAGGCAGTTCCACCCAAGGCCCCAGTGGGGGTGGCCACATGCGTCCACCACACCCAGTGCAGCGTTTCGTGGCCCCATAGGGAGCTCCACGTAAGGCCCGAGTGGGGGTGGCCACATGCGTCCGCCATACCCAGTACAGCGCTTCGTGGCCCCATAGGGAGCTCCACCCAAGGCCCCAGTGGGGGTGGCCACATGCGTCCGCAACACAGCTAGGGAGCTCTACACAAGGCCCCAGTGGGGGTAGCCACATGCGTCCGCCACACCCAGTACAGCGCTTCGTGGCCCCACGGGGAGCTCCTCCTGCGGCCCGAGTGGGGGTGGCCACATGCGTCCGCCACACCCAGTACAGCGCTTCGTGGCCCCATAGGGAGCTCCACCCAAGGCCCCAGTGGGGGTGGCCACATGCGTCCGCCACACCCAGTACAGCGCTTCGTGGCCCCATAGGCAGTTCCACCCAAGGCCCCAGTTGGGGTGGCCACATGCGTCCGCCACACCCAGTACAGCGTCTCGTGGCCCCATCGGGAGCTCCACCCAAGGCCCCAGTGGGGGTGGCCACATGCGTCCGCCACACCCAGTACAGCGTTTCGTGGCCCCATAGGGAGCTCCACCTGCGGCCCGAGTGGGGGTGACCACGTGCGTCCGCCACACCCAGTGCAGCGTTTCGTGGCCCCATAGGGAGCTCCACCTGCGGCCCGAGTGGGGGTGACCACGTGCGTCCGCCACACCCAGTGCAGCGCTTCGTGGCCTCATAGGGAGCTCCACAGAAAGACCCCATTGGCACCGCCCGCATGCGTCGTCCACCACCCAGTACTGCATTTCGCGGCTCCATTGATTGGGAGCTCCACCAAGCCCCAGTGGCACCGCCCGCATGCGTCCCCCCCACCCGGTGCAGCGTTTCGTGGCCCCGTTGGGGGCTCCAGTGGCTCCAGTGGCAACGCCCGCATGCGTCCCCCCCTCTCGTGGCCCCATACGGAGCTCCTCCGAAGGTCCCAGTGGCACCGCCCGCATGCGTCGGCCACCACCCAGTGTAGCGTTTCGTGGCCCCGTAGGGAGCTCCACAGAAAGACCCAAGCGGCACCGCCCGCATGCGTTTCCCCCAATCAATACAGCGCTTCGTGGCCTCATCGGGAGCTCCAGCGAGGGGCACCGCCAGCATGCGTCAGCCACACCCAGGACAGCGTTTCGTGGTCCATATTGAGCCCCACCGAAGGCCCCAGTGGCACCGCTCGCATGCGTCTCCCCCGCCCATCACGGCACGTCCCTCACGCGTTCCGTGGCCCCGTAGGGAGTTTTACTGAAAGCGGCACCCATAACGCGTTACTCACAACTGCATATGGTTGGGTCCTTCGCCAGGATAATCTTATCAATCATCATCCTGCATTGCCCGGCGTCGTCGACTCCCTCGGCTGCCTGGTCATGGAGCTCGATTTCGCCTCCCTGAGGGGGGCGCCGCGCTCGGTGAGCGCGTGGGGGGCGCGGCCGCCAGCCGCCGCCCCTCCCGAGGCAGGACCCGCGGTCTCGCGGAGCGTCGTCTTCTTCTTCTTCTGCTTCTTGGAACTCGTTCTGAGAGGGGGGGACAGTCTCAGCAGTTCCGCGCTGCCCGACACTGCAGTAGGGCGCCCATCCACTGCGTCGCGCTCGATACGAGCAATCCCCACCTCGGATACACTTCCTCTGCGGTGATATTCATCATCGGCGCTGGTATATTCGTGGTCGAGAACTGGCCTAATTTGGCTAAGTCCCGTCCAATCCCGGTTCTAGTCCCGCTCAATTATGTTTAATATTTTGCTTAATTTGGATTAGTCCGGTTTGCAGGCTCCGTGATTGAGCTGGGAGCCCTTGGTCTTTCTTGTGAAGACTTGCCAGGACTTGCCTCCTGACCCCAGGCGCGCGCCCATGCGCGAACGACCCATGCAGCCAGCATCTGGTTCTCATTGTGTCGGGGGCTGTCCCGCCCGCTGGGGCGCGGGCCGCCAGGCTGCTTTCGGAGTGCAACAACGAGAAGTTCAACGTGTGCCTCATGGGGGATGGCATGTGCAGCCGCCCGGACCCGCGCCTCGGCCTCGTCTCCGTCGTCGTACTTCCAGGGCTTACTTCGATTCTTCCGACCCGATTCGGTTCGACTTCGATGGATTCCGATTCCGATTCGATTCGACTTGGGATTCCGATTTGGGTTCCGATTCCTGCCGATTTCCGACGATTTGATTTTTTCCCGACTCGGCTGCCGATTTCCCCCGATCCGATTGATTTCGACCGCCGATTCGACTTATCGATTCGATTCTGGGCTCTCCTGTCCTTCGCGGGCGACTCCGCGCCCGGAGCCCCCGAGGCTCTTTCCCCAAACGACCGATGGTCGAGAAAAGCAGGGGGCCCTGAGGGCACACCCCCAGGGGGGCTGTTCGGACGCGCCCCTGTCGAGGATAAGTCAGGCACGTCCCTCCACAGGAGGAATATCCAAAATTAGTTTTAAAATGATATGGGGCCGAATTCTCGAGTATGTTTGGCTACGTGTGAGTATTTTGTAACCATGTTTGGGCTTTCGTCCAGCATCCCCCTGCAGGACATGCCTGACCTAACCCTGTCGTATCGGGTGCCCCCGAGCTGGACCCCCGAAGTGGTTATCTGGCCAGGCGATACTCCCAGGAATGAGGGCACGGATCGGGGCCGCCAGCTCTCTCCTGGCCAACATCGGGTTGACCCAAAGGGGGGTCCAGCGACAAGGGGGTGGTGCAATAGATTCGGTGCACTATGTTCGTGGGGCTGCAGTGCATTTGGGGCGTGCGATAAAAAGACATTCCGGGGCGCAAGGTGCTGCTGGATTTTCGCGCGTGCAGCACACTACTTGCAGTACAATGCAACACAGTTCTCCGGCGCGACACCTCTGCACGACAATCGCCCCAAATCTGCTGCACCACCCCCTTGCAGCTGGACCCCCTGTTGGGTCACCCGAACGGCAGTCCTCCTCCGCCCCCCAAGGGGGCAGGGGTGGGCCGGGCCCACGGGCCGACAGGCCGAGGCCGAGCCTCTCGGGAGCGCTCCTGGAGTCGAAGCGGCCGCGGCGCCCGCTGCGCCTTCTCGGAGGCTGACGGGCCTCCGGCCCTGACGCGCCGATTAGGGAATTGGCCGTTTTCGGTTCGCGAGAGGGCGTCGCGGCCGTCATTCTTGCGGGTCCAGGTCCGTCGGTTTCGGCCCTGGGCCGCCTTCACGAAAGCGTGGTTTGCTAAAGGGAGGTTTGTCCACCGCCGATCTTCTGGCTGGACTGGCCTGATCAAAGGTGCCCGGGCTGAGTACAGACGGCCCGCATGGCAAGGATGGGCAACCTTCCCCAGGCTGCCCTTGCATCCCTGCCCCTTCGGCCCATCTTTGGGCCACTCTCGCTGACCGCGCCCCGTTCGAGAAGCGTTCTCGTGGGCCTCCGAGGCCCTTGCATCCGTACCGCGCCGCCTTACGATGCGGATTGACTGTATCACACCCCGCTGGTGTATTCTTCCTGTCCTCGTCGTAGGGAGGAGCGGAGGGTCGAGGCCGATGACCTCTGTCCTCCCCCTCCTCCTCCTCATCCTCCTCTTCCTCCTCCTTCCCCTCTTCCTCCTTCTCCTCCTCCTCCTCCTTCCCCTCCCCCTCCTCCTCCTCCTCCGCCTCCTCCTCCTCCTCCTCCTTCCCCTCCTCCTCCTCCTCCTCCTCCTCCTCCTCTTCCTCCCTCCTCGTTCCCATCCTCCACCTCCTCCTCCTCCCTCCTCATTCCCCTCCTCCACCTCCTCCTCATCCTTCTCCTCCCCCTCTTCCTGCTTTTCTCCTCCTCCTCCCTCCTCCTCCTCCTGCTCCTCCTCCCCCCCTCCTCCTCCTTCTCCTCGTCCTCCTCCTCATCCTCCTCCTCTCCTTCCTCCTCCCCCTCCTCCTCTTCCTCTCTTCCTCCTCCTCCTCCTCCCTCCTCCTTCCTCCTCCTCATCCTCCTCCTCCTCCTTCTCCTCCTCCTCCTACTTCCCCTCCTACCCCTCCTCCAACTCCTCCTCCTCCTTCTCCTCCCCCTCTCCCCCTCCTCCTCATCCTCCTCTCCTCGTCCTCCCCACTTCTCCTCGTCGTCCTCCTCCTCCACCTTCTCCTCCTCCTCCTCCTCCTCCTTCTCCGCCTCCTCCTCCTCCTCCTACCCCCCTCCAACTCCTTCTCCTTCTCCTCCTTCCCCTCCTTCTCCCCCTCCTCCTCCTCCTCCTCCTGCTCCTCCTCCTCCTCCTCCTCCTCCTCCTCCTCCTCCTTCCCCTCCCCTCCTCCTCCTCCGCCTCCTCCTCCTCCTCCCTCCTCGTTCCCCTTCCCCTCCCCCCTCCTCATTCCCCTCCTCCTCCTCCTCCTCCTCCTCCTCCTCCTCCTCCTCCACCGTAGCCGTTTGGCTCAAGTAACATTTGGCTCGGACCAATTTGGCTCACCAGAGCTGGCTCGAACCAGGTGGCCGTGCAATCCGCACCGGGTGGGGTAAGATACGCGGGCAGTATCTTTGACCCATCCTCGGACTTGAGAGGGAGCGCCAGGCGTCGCGCCGCTGACAGTTGTACGGTTTCTTCTACCTCCAGGCTACGGACTAGGAGGTTGACCACCACGTCACCAAAATCGATTGCAGGTCCCAGGAGCAGGTGAGCATCATCGTGGGCGTGCAGCGGCAAAGTGGGAAGAGAGAGCCTTTTTGGCCAGGCATGCCCCACGATATCAGGTTTTGGTCTCTTATTATTTGTGCTGTTGCAGCCGCTATTATACAGTGGGTTGTTTTGCACGACGTTCGGCATTTTGTTTCGAATATTGCTCCGGAAAACACGCCACCGACCTTCGAGCCGATGTTGAGCGATTTGAGTCTGTCAAGCACGTGGTGGTTGCAGCTTTGTGGGAAGAGAGAGCCTTTTTGGCCAGTCATGCCCCACGTACGGCTTGTTTTTCCTGCAGTGGCGGTCTTCTTGAGGAAGGAGATGGGGTGCGCTGCTGCGGGGCGCTTTTCTCCGTGTCGGAGGGCTCGTTGCATTGCGTCGTCGTCCTACGTTGCGGTGTTTTGCGCAGGGCACTACAATTCACGCGTCAAGAGTACGTGGCTTGGTGGGCTTCAGCAACCCTGTGATGGGAGAGTGCCGTTTGTGGATTGGAAGCCTCGTTCTGCGGTTGTTAGCTGCGCGGGGGAATGGACGCACGGGCGCCAACAGGGTGAGCATCACATTGAACGTTAACTGCGGGCGCATCCATAGGCCTCTCCTATCTGTTGTCGTGGGCGGCATGGTTGGGCAACCTCCCAGAGCCACTGCCTCCATGTCTTCTACGTCCAGGTGTTGTGGGGGCTCACCAAGTTGCATGTGATTGAGTTCGCGGCTCGGGGCTTCGGCCCCGCAGATGTATTCTGGCCTGGTAGTGGCAGGGAGGTGGAGGCCCGCCCTGTTTCTGGGGCTGGCTCGCGACCTCATGAGCCTGCGCAGCGTGCGCGGGAGGGGGGGGCGCGGCGGCTGAGTCGACCGCGTTGCCCTCAGTTCTCGAGTCCTCGAGTCCTCGAGTCCTCGAGTCCCCCTCCTCCTCCTCCTCCTCCTCCTCCTCCTCCTCCTCCTCCTCCTCCTCCTCCTCCTCCTCCTCCTCGTTCTCATCCTTCTTCTCCTCCTCCCTCCCTTCCCCCCTCCACGGGCCGAGAGAGGGGCCCTCTAGGCACGAATGCTGTCAGGTGAGACCGCTCCAGAGCTTTCAAAGGGGCCGGCAGGATCTTGCGGCTCCAGGGTTCCTCGTGCGTTCCTCAGGCAAAAGGCACCCATACCTCTACCCTCCCCTCGTTTTCTCCCTTTTGGGCCTCCTGGGCCGCCTGGGCCTCCCTCGTCGCCACCGCTGGATTCGCCGGGACATCCTGGTCAGCACGCACCCCGAGAGAGGTCCGGAAAGTAACGGTATCGGCACCTCGTGGTTTCCACGTAGGGTTCTTCGTGCGGTCTTCGGGATCGCGAGCGCTTCAACGCTACCATGTGGTGGCCGTCCAGGAAGCTTTTTCGATCTCAGCCGAGCAAGCTCAGACAACCGAGGCGCCGACTCGACCTGACCCTCCGCCTCCGCCTGTTCCGGGCGCTTCTTTTTGTCATGTTCAGTGGCGTTATCCCTGCCGTTCCTCCTGCGACCCAGGGGCTGCAGAAAGTCCGCAGGTGGACGCGTGGTTCTCGCCCAGCCTCTGAGCGCGGGGACAAAAAATCCCATACGGGAGCAAGGGGCACGAGGAGCAGGCCTGCGTCATTCACAAATGGCCTCAGCGCGCACAGTTCAGAGTTCAAACGCTTCAGCGGCAGGTTCGGCTCGGGCTGGGGCGCGCAAGCACAACAGCACAGTATCTGCGAGTTCCGACGTTTTCATCAGACCAGGACGTAACTTGCCAGCTGATGGGCGATGTGAGGAGGAGTATGATTAGTAAGACGAGGAAGATGTGGCGGTGGAGTTGCACCCTGTGCAGACTGTGCCGTGTTTGAGAGTCGTTACTTCCGCTTCTGCCGCTTTTGAGAAGTGAGCAGTTCGGGCGCAAGAGGTGGGAGTGGAACGGGGTCATGGGGCCGCGACGGCTTGAATGCGAGGGTGAAAATATAATGTCCCTGGGCCCATCCAGCCACTGCGCCTGTGTCGTGTTCCAAGGGCCTTGGGGAAAATGTTAGGGGGATCGTGGCAGCTTTTTGCGCCCTGTGCGGCTCCTGTTGGTCATTTGAGCCGGCTTCGAGGGTACATGTCCCCCCAATGCGTATCATTTTCGGGGCCCCTCCTTCCTTTCCCTCCTCCCTCCCTCCCTCCCTCCGCCTCCTCCAGAAATCCGCGCAGGTTTCCCTCGCACTTCGCTGGTACCAAGAATACAACGACCTCTCCGAGGCATAGCGCGGCTGTTCATACGCATATTTTTGCACCCACCGCAAATTTACATTACGAGCTGCCGAAACATTTGCCGATGCGCCGTCTAGGCGCGGCCTTTTTCCTGTCCTGTCCATGGCAGTTTCTTGGGGTGCTCTTGGTTGCGTCTTGGGGCCGGTTGGGTCTCTTGTCAATAGGGAGGAGAAAGGGGAGAGGATATGGCCCCAGGTAGCATGCTAGAAATGGTTGTGACTAGTGACAAGGCGGTTTATCAGGAGGGAGGCGATCTGGAGGAGGATTCGGTAATGCATAGATTATCAGCGAACTCGACCGCAGTATCCAGCATGTCTTCTGATGGGGACGAGATCTGAGCTGGCGAGGGGCGGGCTGGTACATGTCTCCCACGCGCCCAAGGAAGGAGACAGTGGGAACGGGGGCAAGAGGAGAACAAAGTGGAGGAGGAGGAGGAGGAGGAGGAGGAGGAGGAGGAGGAGGAGGGATGCGGACAAGAACGCTGCTAGCCCCGACGTTTAGGGTCTGGCCAAGTTCAAACGGGATGCGGAAGAGCCCCAACGTTCGGAGTCTGGCCATCGATTCGCACTCTTTGGGCTGTGCTTGGGAAGGCGGGCGCATCCGCAGCATCGTGTGCCCTTCTCGCCCCTCCTGCCCCCCTTCCCTCCCTCCTCGCCCTCTCCTGCCACCCCTCCCCCTGCCCCTCCTGCCTCTCCTGCCTCTCCTGCCTCTCCTGCCTCTCCTGCCTCTCCACCTCCTCCTCCTCCTCCTCCTCCTCCTCCTCCTCCTCCTTCCTGTCCCCTTCCCTTCCTCCTGCCCTCTCCTGCCACCACTCCCCTGCCCCTCCTGCTCCTTGCTCCCTCCCTCACTCCCTCCCCTCCTCCCTCCTCCTTCCCTCCTCCATCCCTCTCCTCTTCCTCTCCTCTCTCCCTCCTCCCTCCCTACTGCCCTCCCTACCATCCTCCCTCTACTCCTCCCTCCATCCCTCCTCGCCCGCCCCTCCTGCCACTTCTCCCGTCCCCCAGTTCCCCCGCTCGTCGCCCGCTCGTCATTGGATCCGATCCGCGCCGCTCCGAGAACTGCAACCACTACTCCAACGTGCACGTGCAGGCGCCGCAACGGAGCCACCCCGCTCCTGCCTCACGTCAGGGGGGGCGGGGTGAGCAGAGGAAACTCCAGAGGCCAACAGCAAATGCGCGTGTAGCGAAGCAGAACACACACACACACACATCCACAGGAAACATACGCTCTCGGAGCTCCGCGCGGAGGTCCGACCGATGATGTTTCTGCAGCTGTTCCCCAAGCAGTGCTTGCACACTGGAGTCCTTCCTTCTGCTTCGAGGAACTGGGCCTGGATGCCGCCTCGGCCGGCTTGTCGTCGCCCCGTCGCCGCCCGCCCCTTGGTCACGATCTTGATTGTGCGAGGCTCGCGCAGTCAAAATCGTGACCAAACGGCGCCGCCGCCCGTCGCCGCTTCGTCGCCGCTCGTCGCCGTCCGTCATGGCTCGTCGCCGCCCGTCGTCGCCTGGTCGTCGCCCGTCGCCGTCGCCTCGCTGCCGCATTTTGGTCGCAATGTTGCTTGTGCGAGCCTCGTAGGTTGCACATCATACATTCTCCTTGCTGAAAAGAGAATAGGTTCTACCACCCTCCCCCCCGGGGTTCAAGATCCCCCAGGAACCGATGCAAAACACGTCGGATTCTGGCCCAACGTCCATCCTACCGGTGAATTCACACTATCCCAGCCAGGCCGGTATCGACCCCCCCCGCCATCCTCTTGCAAAACATATTATGCGCGCACATTCGTTTATAACAAATCATGAGTTTTCACGAGTCCCTTGCCAAAAATGCGACAAAGTGCACACGCGCGCGTTGTCGCGCGCGCATGCCGAAATCCTTTAACAAAAATTTCGGTTTCGGAAGGATTCCCAAATCGAGTTCCCAAACAACATACAAACACACAGGGTTTCGCAACATGTTTTTTTTGAAAAGCTTACACGCGCGCTCTTGCGAAATCTCAAGAAAACCATAGATTCGTCAAGATGTTCACAAAATGCTACCAATAGGGCTTCGGGCGCGCGCATGTCAAAATCGTCCTTGCGCGCGTGCCGTCGCGAGAGTCCTCTGCAACAAATGGGACGAAGTGCACGCGCGCGCGTCGTCGCGCGCGCATGCCGTAATCCTTCAAAAACCTCTGGGTTCGGAAGGAATTCAAAATCGAGTGTCCTAAAAACATACAAAAACACAGGATTTCTAAGCACGGAGTTTCGACAAAAGCGTGCGCACGCGCTCTTGCGTTGTCGTCGTCGTCGTCGCCGTCCTCCTTTCTCCCTCGTCGTCGTCGTCGTTACCGTCGTCGTCCTCTGTCTTTCCTCGTCGTCGTCGTCGTCTTTGGGTCGTTGTCGTTTTCGTCGTTGTCGCCGTGGTCGTCCTTCCTCCTCCCTCGTCGTCGTCGTCGTCGTCGTCGTCGTCCGTCGACGGCGTCTCGTCGTCGTCCCTACTTTTTCGTCGCCGTCGTCGTCGTCGTCGTCGTCGTCGTCGTCGTCGTCTTCCCTCCTCCCTCGTCGTTGTCGTCGTCGGCGTCGCCGTCATTCCTTCTTCGTCGTTCGCGTCGTCGCCGTCCTTTCTTTCTCGTCGTTGTCGTCGTTGTCGCCGTCGTCTTCCTCCCTCCTCCCTCGTCGTCGTCGTCGTCGTCTTCGTTGGCGACGTCGTCGTCGTCGTCTTCGTTGGCGACGTCGTCGTCGTCTTCGTCGTCGTCGTCGGCGTCGTCGTCGTCGGCGGCGTCATCGTCGTCGTCGGCGTTGTCATTGTCGTCGTCGTCGTCGGTGGCGTCGGCGTCGTCGTCGTCGGCGTCGCCGTCGTCGTCGTCGTCGTCGTCGTCATCGTCGTCGTCGTCGTCGAAGTCGTCGGAGACGTCGTCGGTGTCGTCGTAGTCGGCGTCGTCGTCGTCGTCGTCGCTGTCGCTGTCGTCGTCGGCGTGGCCGTCGTTGCCAAGTGCCATTTGGTATCCACCGTCACGGTCTTAAGAGGTCTTGCGACCAAGTTGCGGGTGGGAGGGTGGGATGTTTGCATGAGCAGTGGAGAGGACAGCTTCAAGACGGTCAAAGTGAATTGCACCACATAGGTTTCACCACATACAGTTCACCACATAGACTGCTTTCCATCTTTTGTACACCAACACATATGTGTATATATTTATATATATACACATATAGATTGCAAGACATCACGGTTTGGGGTCCACGATGGATGATTTTCGTTTCCCTGGATTTTCAAGGGCCACTACACATGCACAAGCACGCGATCAGCTTCAGCTGGCCTGCGTCTGATCGCGGTCACTCGTGCACGCGGGGCCGTGGAGCGCGTATATGTGCATATGTTTTTGTTGGCCCAGGGTCGAAAGAATTTGTATACCGAAAGCAGCCCATGGTGCAATAGGGATACTCACGTCACCAGGCCGTACTTCCTCAGATTTGCGTGACACCTCCCCCGGGGATTTTTCCAGGGGTCGGACGTTTTCACCGTCGTTGCTCGGCAAGCTCCCTCATCACGATGCCCCTGCACATAGCGGGGTCCTAGGATGCACTGTTGCATCTCGTGGGCCACGTGAGCGTCTCTATATAGCAAGATGCCCCCGCCTCGAGAGCGCAGAGCAGTTTGCGCAGTGGAATTCTACTGCGTAGATCTTTGCTGCACAATCCGTGTCCGCTACGACCCTGCGCGGCCTGGGTGCTCGGAGCGCGGAGCAGAGGATCTGTGTGAAGGCGCGCTCTCTGCCGTCATTGTGGGCCAGCGGGGGTGAAAGCGGGGATTGGCCCAGGGGGGAAACGCCGACCCCCAACCGCCCACTGACCGCCGATCGGGCCTGGATGGCCAAACCCGCCCGGGAGCGTCCGGCCTTGCCTTCGGGGGCCCACCGCGGATGCATCGGCGATGCACCGCCGATGGCACGTCGTTGTCCCCCCTGTCGTCCACCCTCAGTGGAGGGTGAGGAGGGTCGTGCAGCTGTGGGCAGAGCACGACTGGGAGCGGCTGGGCGGCAGCATTTACGGCTGCCGGGTCCTTTGAGTCTGCACCCCCCCTCTATGGCCTCGTTCTGAGGCTGCGCCCCCCCCTTTCCCTCCCCCTTCCCTAATTCAAGCTTCGCGCGGCCCGCTTAGCTTCGACCGGAAGAGGTGCGCTCTCGACCCGCGAATCAAACGAAGAGTCTGCCCCCCCCTCTCCCCGGCCTCGCGGGCTGACCTCGTCGACGGGGAGAGTGGACGGGCGGCAGCACTCTTTGTGCCAGCGGGGATCTCGCCGTGGAGCCTCTCCACCCCCGTCCCCCGGCCCTCCCCTGACATGCGCCGCATAGCGAAGAGAGGGCAACACCCTGAAAACGTCACGACCGAAGCCCTGGTCCCCACCTCTCCGCACCGCTCCTCGAGCCGGATCGGTCCGTGAGAGTCCCGGGGGCTCGCAGCCGGGCGAGCAAGCCCAGCTCGAAAAAGTGGGGACGCCAGGATCTCGGGGTCCCCGCCCTTTCGGCGCCCCGTAGCTGCCGTACTTCTTCAACCAGGCCGAGAAGGGCAAGCAGAGGTCGCCGGACGCCCCAGCGGCGGCGCCCAAGATGCAGCCCCCGCCCTCGCAGGAGCATCTGGCGGAGGAGGAGGAGGAGGAGGAGGAGGAGGAGGAGGAGGAGGAGGAGGAGGAGGAGGAGGAGGAGGAGGAGGAGGAGGAGAGGGGGAGGGGGAGGGGGAGTGCGGAGAGGAGGAGGAGGAGGAGGAGGAGGAGGAGGAGGAGGAGGAGGAGAGGGAGGAGGGGGAGGAGGGGAGGAGGAGGAGGGAGGAGGAGGAGGGGAGGAGGAGGAGTGAGGAGGAGGAGGAGGAGGAGGAGCGCTGCCGTCCAGGCCTCCCAGATTGGGTCCGAGTAGCGATGGCGTCGGAGGATCTCGCAGCACCGCCGAGGCACCAGCAGTTCGGCGCGCTGTGGAGCCCGAGCTTCTCCGCGCCGCCGTCGCCGATGCACCGCCGACGTCGCGGACGCATCGCCGATGCATCGCCGGCATCGCCGACACATCGGCGACGCATCGGCGACGTCGGCTCGATGCTCCGACCCCAGCAGCTTCGGGGGCGGCCAAGAGGGGGGTGATGACTAAGGGTGGATACCATGGCGGGGGCCATGATATCTCCCCAGGCTTCATGGCGCCTCTTCTTATTCCACTGCGTCCCTGGTTCCCCCCTGGGCCGCGCACGGGCCGCCGGCCATGCTTTGCGCCCCCCCTCTCTTGGCCGCCCCCCTGTTGACCGCGCCCGGCAGCTCGGCCGCCACTAATAGGGAGGCCTCCGTGCCGGCAGCCTCGCGGAGGGGAGGGGCGCGGGGCGGGAGGGGCCTCCCCGTGGGGGGTGTGCGGGGAGGCGGGCCGCGGGAGGAGGCGGAGCCTTCGCCGCAGAGGCCCGACGTCCTGGCAGGGAGCGGGGCGGAGGTCCGCCGTCGCTGTCGGCCTGCGGGAGGGGGGGGGCCCTCGCGGGGCCCGGGAAGAAGCGGCTCATGACGAGAAGCTGGGCCCGAGAACCCCGCGCGGACCTCCAGCAGCGGCGGAGGAGGAGGGAAGAGAAGGAGGAGGAGGAGGAGGAGGAGGAGGAGGAGGACGAGGGAGGTGGAGAAGCTGGACCCAGGTACGGGGTCCAGACTGGAGAGGATTGGTGAGAGGGCCCCGCGTTGAGCAACTCGAGGCATCGGGTCTCTGCGCTCGAGGCAAAGGAGGAGGCGGAGCCTCCTCGAGGATGAGGCTGCGGAGCTCTTCTCCTCTGCTCCTGCGCCTCCTCCTCCCCTGCTCCCGCCTCCTGGCGCGGCAGAAAGGGAGGGGGCTGACCCGTCGCGCCATCGCGGCGTGGCCCCGGGAGTGCCAGGGCACCTTCTCGGTGGAGCCTTCCCGCTCTTGTGCTCCTGTCCCTAGCTCCGCTTCTCTTGCTCGTTCCCCTGTCTCTCGATTCCGCCCGTCTGGGTGCTGCCGCTGTGCGGGCCGTCGCTGGCCACCAGTCATCAGGGGCAGCGTTAATGGGGGGAGGGGGGAGGGGAATGGGCTCAGGGGGGGTATATGCATCGACCCCCGATCGCCCACTGATCGCTGATAGGGGCCCGATAGCCCACCCCGCCCAGGGACGTGCGGATTCGCTATCGGGGGCCTATCGCCGATCCGTCGGCGATGTATATATATATATATATATATATATATATATATCGCCGACTCCAAGTCAAGGCTTCCCCCCTGAGACAGTCCTCCCCCATGGCTGGCAGCCATGGAGACGGGCAGGTAGATTGGTAGGTCATTAAGTATGTATGTGTACACGTATGCATGCATGCATGCATGCATGTATGTATGTATGTATGCATGTGTGTATGTATGTGTGCATGCATGTGTGCATGTATGATGTCATGTAGGCATGTGCGTGCATATGTATGTGGATATATGCCTGTACACATGCATGCATTTATGCGTACGCGTATGTGCATATGTATGTCTATACGTTTTGTTGTGTGTGTGTGCATGTATTTATGTATGCGTGCATACATGCATGCCTATGTATATGCCCGTGCATATGTATATTGTACATGCACTTCTGGGTGTATATGTATATGTGTCGATGTTCGCATTGCCATGCTCATATGCATGTGTAAGTGTATGTGCATTTGAATGTGTGCATGTACATGTATCTGTATATTTGAGAGAGCGTGATCCACCGCCGCTTTACTGTGGAAACTTGCCGCCCTTTTCCTCCGGAACCCGGGGGTCCCCCCCCCCCCTCCCGAAAATCCCCCCCCCCCTGCTGGAACCCCTCCCCCCCCCCTCCCTTCCCCCGGCAAAACCCCCTCCCCTCCCCTACCCCCCCCCCCCCTCGACTCGAAAACCGGGGGGGGTCACTACCGGTTCGAACCCCCCCCCCCCCTCGAAAACCCCCCCCCCGTCGAAAACCGGAGGGGGGGGGGGGTACCGGTTCGAACCCCTCCCCACCTCCCCTCTCACCTCCAGCAAACGACTCCCGGTCCCTACCACCGTCCTCACCACATCCCCCACTGTTGTTCCCAGCGCCACTGTCCTCACCACCACTGTCCCCACTGGTTCCACCACCGCCCCTACTGTCCCCACCAGTGCCACCACCACTGTCGCACTGTCCCCCACTGTCCCCACCACTGTTCCCACCACGGTTCCACTCTCCCAACTTTCTCCACGACTATCCCCACTGTCCCCACTGTCCCACTGACTCCTCCGCTGTCCCACTGAGCTGTCCCACTGTTCCCACCACTGTCCCCACTGTCCCCACCACTGTCCCCACTGTACCTCTGTCCCATTTTCCCACCGCCGTCCTCGCCACCGCCTTCACCACTGTCCCCACCACCACTGTACCCTCCACTGTCCCACTGTTTCCACCACATTCCCACTGTCCCCACACCACTGTCCCCACCACCACCGTCCCCACCACTGTCCCACTGTCCCCACTGTTCCCACCATTGTCCTCCCCATTGTCCCCACCACTACCGTCCCCACCACTGTCCCACTGTCCCCACCACTGTCCCGTTGTCCCCTCACCACTGTCCCCACCACCACCGTCCCCACCACTGTCCGCACCACCCCTCGGTTTTCGAGGGGGGGGGGGGGTTCGAACCGGTAGTGACCCCCCCCGGTTTTCGAGTTCGAGGGGGAGGGGGGGTGGGGGGGGGGTTCGAACCGGTAGTGACCCCCCCCTCCTTTTCATGATGAACTGGGGGGGGGGAGGGGTTTGAACCAGTAGTGACCCCCCCGGTTTTCCAGAGGGGAGGGGGGGGGGAGGGGTTCGAACCGGTAGTGACCCCCCCGGTTTTCCGCCAGCAGCGGTAGAACACGCTCTTTCGTATATTTAGATGTATGTATGTTTGTGTAGTTATATTTATATGTATATGCACATGTGAATGCACATGGACGTGCCTATGTGTATGCACATGTATATGTTTCGTATGCGTATATGTACATGTATGTGTATACAGATATGCACCTGTATGTATATGCGTATGCATGTATATGTGTATGCATGAACATATGTAGGTGTACGCGAATAGATGTGCATATGGTTATGCTTATGCATATGTGTGTATATATGCATGTCCATGGTACATATATGTAGGTGGATACGTGTTTGCATGTGCATAAGCGTACATGGTTTAGTTGGTATATGAATATACATGTACGTTTGACCATGCATACTTATATACATAATTGTGTATATGATTGCGTCTGTGTGTACGTATATATATGTATGCATATATATATATATATGTATATGTATGTATATGTGTAGGTCGGTGTGTCTGCCTGTATGCATGCATGGATGTTGCATGTCTGCCTGCCTGTCTGTCTGCATGCATGTGTGTATGTATGCATGATTGCATGCATGTATGAATGAGTGAGTGAAAGTGAGTGTGCACGCTTACATATATATATATATATGTATATGTATATGTATATGTATATGCATATATACGTATATAACGATCTATATATCTATATATATATACATATATATATATATATATCCTTCGGTCCATCCCGCCACCGTGCCTGGGTTGTGGGTGCGGAGCTTATTGGATGTTCGTTTGGATTTCGTGTGAGTCTTCTCAGGGGCCTCTTGGAGGCAGTTTGGACGTCTCTTGAGGGCCGTCTTGGGCCTCCTCTGGGTTTCTTGGGGGCCCCGGGGCCTCCTGGGGGGCTCTTGGTGCGGAAGGTTCGGATGTTCGGTTCGTGTTCCATCTTTTTTGCCCCTTTTGAGGCCGTCTCGGGACCCTCTTGGGCCGTTTTGGGCGTCTCTTGGACTGTCTCGGAGCCCTCTTGGGCTGTTTTGGCCTCTAGGACCGCCGGGGATTGTCGGGAAACCAAGCCGATAAGGCGAGAACGTCAAAATCCTTCAGCCACCCAAAAGGAAATCAGTGATTTTGGCCTCCTGGGGCCCTTTTAGGAGGCCTCTTGGAGGCCTCTTTGGGCGTCTTGAAGGCCTCTTGGGCCGTCTGGGGGCCATTTTGGGCGTCTTGGGCCGATTCTTCGGTGACTCAGGCCGTCTGGGGCCGTCTTGGAGGCCTCTTAGGGGTCCCCTTGGCCCGTCTTCGGGCCCTCTTGGGCCCGAAAAAGTCACGCGACGAGACCTGACGAGCTCCAGGGGACATGCGTCAAGCCCCGGAGAAACCGGAAATTTAGGCCCCTTTATATTCCTCAGGGGTAAGGATTGAGGCTCAGAGGGTAGTGAGAGGATCTGAGGACACGCCCATTCCGTACCCAGCGGCACGGTGGCGTATGTATGTATGTATGTATGCATGCCTGCCTGCCTGCCTGCCTGCCTGCCTGCCTGCCTGCCTGCATGCATGTATGTATGTATGGATGGATGGATGGATGGATCGATGGATGGATGGATGGATGGATGGATGTATGTATGTATGTATGTATATATCAATGTATATACACACCCACATCTAGTGGCCTTCGGACCATCCCGCCACCGTGCCTGGGTTGTAGGTCTGACGCCTCCTGGATGGTCGTTGGGATCTCGTCGAGGCCTCTCGGGGGCCTCCTGAGGGGCTGTTTGGGGGCCTCTTGGGGGCCTCTAGGGCCCTCTCGGGGGCCTC